TTATTATTATTATTATTATTATTATTATTATTATTATTATTATTATTATTATTTTTATTTTTATTATTATTATTATAATCTTTTTACCTTTTATTCTCTTTTAGACAATTATATTTTTTTTACATAAACATAAATTCCGATGTGAAACAGTCTAAAACGTTAGGTGGTCGATAAGTCATACTATTAAGACATCTAATGCATATTTATATTATCAAACTAGTATTCGACCTGTGCATTTGCACAGATATATAAATAAAGCATTGTGAGTTATTTGTATTCATATAATGATTAATGATTTTTGCCAATTTTACAATTAAATGAGCTGAAATATTTATTTTTTTAAATTGTGTTTATCATATTGGATGTAATGTATATTTTGATATGTATCTTTTTTTGTAAAATTATTTATTATTTATTAAGTAATTTCAAATATATATTTTTATTTTCCAAAAGAAGTTAATTTAAATGTAACCACAATAATAACATCTAATCACATTAAATAGTCAATACACTATATGATCAGTTGTAAGTTAATGGAAAATTTAAAATGATATTTGTAATTTTGAAGTGTTAGTGTGTTGATTATTTAATAATTAAATGAGAGGTTAAATATATAAAAAGTAACGGTTTTTTGAGGGAAAAAATTATATTGCCACATAGGTATAATTTAATAGGTTTTATTAAATGTCATTAGCCAGCAATTATATATATATAGATGTTATATTTTTATTTTTTATTTTTTAAAAAAATGTCATTTTATAATAAAAGTATATTAGCTTAATAGTTCGATAGGCATAACACATTAAACATACACGCATACCTCAAATTGAAATGATACACTTTAAAACAACATAAGTAAAAATATGACTTTTTATAATATTAATATATAATTTTGTTAAAATATATTAGCGAATCGACTCGCCTCACTGTTAAACTTGGTCGGTCTTACAAAAAATTTGAGATCATTTTATTATTTTAAGGAGATTCTATGATTCTGTTACGGAACTATTTCGTTAGAGTTTGTAACCGTTAGATCAACTATCTACGATACATTATTATTTAATGGTTACAGATTCCGACCGAATGATTACGCAACGGAAGTATAACATTTTCAAATATTTATTTGGTTTTTGGTTGTATGGGTGGCGCAAGTTGGATGGTTAGAGTTGGGCGTTAGGACGGAACCCACAGTTTCGACAAGGACTTTTTATTGACCCGTTTATTACAAAGAAAAGTCAAAGAACGGGATTGTTATTTACAAGTGGGTCAACATGATATAATTAATACAAGTAAAAAACAAAAGAAGAAAAATACGACGAAATCTAGATTGACGGTATGTTTTTGAAACTTAACCGCGTTCGCCATGGAATTATGTACGTTTTTTTTTTTTTTTTTNNNNTTTTTTTTTTTTTTTTTAATAATTTAGATTTTGACTAGTCTTGAATATTTTTATTTCGAAACTGCATTTTATAAGGAATTATTTTTTGTTAACTCGTTATAAGAAAATAAATAAATGAATGGAACAAATTGTTTGATTTTTCTTTTAAGTCATAAACTTCATAAAAGTATATATGGCAATAATTACGAAAAAGTTGACCGGTTTTTGACGAGGTGATTGCGCCACTAATCATGCATGGTCCTTCACGAATATTTTCCCGCTTTATAATATAGTTAGTGTATGAGAAATGTTCCGATGGGCACATGTAAATATGCACACCGCCTATGTGTCATGCATATATTGGTGATGTATTTTTTTGAACATATTAACATCATCATGTGTGCATGCCACGTAAGCGATGGACATATTAACATGTGTCCACCGTGGATAGGAGAGCATTATTTGTTAGTGTATATCAAATCTCTCCGCTTTTGTGTAGTTCATATTTGTTGTAAATGAATTATTGTAGTTTTTTGTAAAGAAAAAATCTCTAGTTTATTATTATTTTATTTTTATATATATCTAGTACTAGTGTAAACTTATATTAGTATATTTTGCACATTGGTTGAGGCAAAAATGTACATTTTCATTCAAGTCCATCAACGAACACCCTCGAATTTGAGTCATGCACATAGAGATGTAAAAATGAGAGAAGTTAGAGTTGAAACTTTGATACTCGAGCTTAGACGTGAATCTTATTGAATCAAGCTCGACTCGTTAACTTATCTAAACAGAGCATGATCTCCACTTTTTATCAAAATTAACGAGTTCAACTCGAGACTTAACTAGTTGAGATAAACTAAAAATAGTTCATGAAAGAACCCCACCGAATTCACAAGTTATTCGGGTCGTTTAACTACTCTATGTGCATTTATACTGTTATGTGTTTCGGTATAAAGCCTAACACGTGGCTTTATCTTTTTGTGCAAACCAAATGAAGAGTGCGAGCTCCAAGGCCCAAAATGGGCTTGGCTGAACTTTTGGAACCAAGTGTTGTACGCGTGTGATGAAGAGTGTGTATCGTGAATTCGAATTTGTGAATCTTTGCACTGATGACCGCTGGTTAACACGAGTTTTTGGTGCTCGAATGAGCGGTTTTTGATTTATTATTTCATAAGTTATCCGAATGAAGAACACGAGATTTTTAAGGAAAGCCAAAATATAAAAATTACAACTAAGGTCCTAATAATCGCCAAATAACTGAACAAAGAAAAATAAATCAAAAAATTACAAATGAATCCTCCAGTCACACTAAACCGTCGCTGACACAACGGGTGTAGCGGGCACGATGTCGGGACTGTCGCTGATGCGATGACATCGCGGGTGCAATAGTTTGTGCCATTGTGGCCTTTGTTCATCCGTGACTAGTGTCGCAGGCACAATGGCTCGTTTGATGGCCTTCGCGTCGCTGCGTGAGAGAGCACGACATCTTGTGTCGAGCGCAATGGTCTGGGGCGCGAGGCCTACTGCTGCGAGACGACCTGTGGCACGACGTGACGAGGCTTTGCGGTGCAAGACTTGTTGGTGTTGTGGTGTGTTGGCCCATTGTCCTCGTGTCGTTGTGCTCGAGTGCTCGACATGCATCATTCTCGTCCTCTTTGAGTATATTCTTGTCCTCCCGGATAAAGTTTATAAGTTGATCATGCATGTCTCGTAGATTCTTTTTTAGAAAACAATTCATCCCCTCGAACCCTAAAGACTTTTATGAGTTGTAGACGTAACATTGTCATAATATTCAAAATGGTCGACACACTTCTTTGAGGCTACAAGGCCGTTAATTAGATTCATGTAAAGAACAATATCGTACCATACTTATTCTCTATCTGCGTAGACCTTGCATTCCCACTCTCAGAGATATTTTGGGCTGAAAATCCAATGCCTTCTCCTTATGCTTTCCATAGTCCATTGGCCCAGCCTGAGGGCCGTCTTATATATGACAGACTCAGGAAAAAATTATCAAGCAAGTGAGAAGTGTTCTTTTTTTGCCATTCGACAAATAACACCCCTGGTTTGTGTTCCCTCCAAAAGGTGTGTACGGCCTCATAATTGTTGGATTTTTGGTGTAAAATTACACGAGAATCCTACGAACTGATATGTATTTTCAGTTATTACAAATAATCTAAAAATAGAAAATTACAATTGAACTGAAAAATAAATTACAACTGAAAAACGGAAATATTTTAGCCGAGGCGAGTAAAACTCTTTCCGCAAGAAGAATACGCCCCGTGTGGCAGCTAACGGTTCAGGCGTAACTTCCCCAAAGATATAACGGCAAACGTCTCTAAATCTGTAGCACACCAGATTTACGAGCTCCGGCGAACGGGAACGGAGTCGAGAATTGAGCACTTAGAAATTAAAAGGAATATTCTGAAACAAATAAAAATATCACTTGTTTCTTTTCTTTGATATTTTTATATCCGATATTTGGACATAAATATTTCTATCCTTTCTTTTCTCTTTCTTTCTTCTCTCTTTATTTCTATATTTGGTGCATTTTTCTCTACTGGTTGAATGCCTATTTATAGGCAGAGCGATCAGATAAAGCCTGGCCATACAGAAGTTAACGCCTCGCCATTCATTATTACATCAAAACATATATAATGCAAGTTGACATGTGGCCCATTGGAAGAAGAATCTTCACACGTTATTGAACTTCCAAATTTGATCATTAAATTATAATGGTGGGACCCATATTAGTTAATGAAACTCAATTATTACTTACAATCCCCCACACGAGTTTCATTAAATATATATAGATTATTGTGCTCAATCCTCACAAAACTCTATTGCATCAGAAAAGGTAGCTTTTGGCTTTGAACCTTTCTTAGTAAACATCATCGGATGCACTGGCGGCCTAGTGGACATAATGCCTTGAACTATTCCTCCATAGTGTACACCAAGACAATGACATTCACACAATAGGGTTTTAACTCCATTTCGTTCTATCGTTGTGTCCGTTTTGGCCATGGACAACACAATGGATTCATAAGAGTTTACATTTGAAGCGGCCCACACTTCACACTTATATAGGTGACCTCCCTATCAAGAGTATCTTGTCTAAGTCCACCTTTACAAGGTTAGGGATTCATTAAAAGTCCAAATGACTTAACTTACCACAATCAACATGTAATTTTGCACTTGGTGTGCTCTAGGGAATAGCTTTGGA